CCCACAAACCTCTTTTTCCCAGAAGATGAAATTCCACGGAGAGCCCAAGAAGCCCCCCATGCACGAATACCAGAAATTCCACGAGGATTTGTGGTCCAGCAGGGAGCTGCAGGACCTGCCCCTGATGGAGCGCATGGTGGAGATTGGCAGACGCTGGCAGCGCATCCCGCAGAGCCAGAAGGAGCACTGTAAGAAGCAGGCTGAGGAGCTGCAGAAACAGTACAAGGTGGACCTGGATCGCTGGCTCCAGAGTCTGTCTCCTGAAGAATATGCTGCATACAGAGAAGCAACCTATACTAAGCGTAAGAATCTGGGCATGAGGGGAGGCTCGAACCCCAAGATCAGACGGACAGATCTGCCGTCCCCATCTGCAAGGAGTCCTCAAGAAGGACTTGGAGAGGAGCAGGAGCTCCAGGCTTCAGAGACAGAATCATCAGAGTCTGTTGGGGTAACTTCTCTTTCCTCACTGGGATCAGAAGACAATAAGGAAGATGGGGAAGAGGAGGAAGGCAGGAACTCCTCGGACTCCAGCAGTGAGGAGGAAGATGGAGAGTGTGAGTCTGAGGGCAGTGACTCCAGCTCATATTCCTCAGAGGACTCCTCTGACTCAGACTCCAACTGAGTTTTGTTCACACCCTACAGGGTAGGACAGAGAGCTTCCCAGCATAATTCCGGGGTGTTTACAGCAAATTGAAAGTCTGTTCTCCCTGTCCTGGCTTCATTTCCTTCCTTCTTTCCTTCCCTCCTCCATACAAAGTAGAATTGGTTGGCAAAAAGGAATCTCGTGCAGGACTTACTGGCTCCTCTCTAAACCCCACGTCCACCCCCAGAAAGACTCCATGCAATTAAGGCTCTTGGAATAAATAAGGAGGTGCTTGGGCTGTGAGTGACACACTGGATCAGACTGAGTTTCCTGACGTGAGAGGCTTTGCTCTCCTCATGTTCTGCCTGCCAGAGGTGGTAGGGGACACCCAGGAGCCCGTGACCTCTGCCTTCTCTGTGGAACTGTCCCTCAGGACTCAGGCACTGGAGCTGGGGAGGGGAAGTTTTGATTGATTGCTTGTAGAAGAGTTGCCTTTAAAAATATTATCAATCTCCTGATATCTCTCCCTGGTCTCACCAGGAAGGAGCTGGCCATTTCCCATCTTAGGAGTGGGCGGGGCCATGTGCGCAGCAGCATTTCTAAACGTACATTTATTTTTCAGTTGCCAATGAGGTTTTTCCAACGGATTTCAAAACTCAAAATTAAAGTTTTAAAAACTCACCTTTTTCGTTTGAATTAGCTGCTCGTTAGAATCAGTCTCCTTTGCCTCTAGGTACTAATTTTCCCTGTGATGTTTGAATTTATTTGTTTTTTTTGCCCTCCCACTTCTTAATGCTCCTGGTCCAAGGGAATCACATTTTTACCATACCTCCAATTTATATGTATCACAGTACATGTGTGTGTAAATAGAATTATTTTATTCCACTGATCACTGATCTGTCTGTGAATTCATGTACCGGGCCCACACTGCTTCAATTATTCTTGTTTACTTACATTTTTGAAAGTCTGTTTAAAGCCAGTACCACTTCATATTTTTCTTTTCTAAACGCTCTTGGCTATTTTCATTTTTTGTCCTCACGGACATTAGCATCACAGATAACTGTAATTGTATCCTCTATATATGAAAACAGTTGAATTTTGAGAGTTTATCTTATTCCTTGATGTCTTAGTGAAAGACTTCATTATTCATAAATGGTTTTATAAGCCTACAATTACCTTATCAGAAAATAAAGACAATACTTATAATTTTCATACCTCTGCTTTTGAATTGTGCTTTAAATCATGTACTTTCAAATTTATTCAGCATCTACTGTTTTCTAAGCCTTGTCTTGGTGGCATAGGATACAGAGATGAAAGTTACAATTCCTGACTCTGTGACACTCACAGTCAGGCAGAGAAGAAAGTAAGTGTAATCAGTAAGAGGCAGAAAAGCACAAATACTAGATAAATAGAGGCTAAAATTCTGAATTTTCATTTACGAAAAGATGGCATTGGTTAAAATACAAATCACTTCACTTATCCATTTCCCCATCTACACATTTATGAACTGGGAACAAAATTACACTCGTACAGGATGTAAGTGAAGATTAGGTTTAGTGCTTAAATAAAATGCCTGGCTCACAGTTGGTTCAAAAGAAAATGGTCAGTCAATTTCTTTCTTCCCCCCAAATCTACTAATGTCAATTGATGAAAGAACTGACGAGCAAGAGTGGGCAGCACTGCCAAGTGATCGCCCCACAGCTTTCCGCTCCTTAACCATAGAAATGGAATTGAACCCAGGAACCTAGCAACTCAGCCCCAGAGGCATTTCTGGCTTTTTGGCTGAGACCCAGATGCTCCATTCAATCAGATCTGACTTTTCTGAAACTTCTCAGACTGAGCTTTTGATCTTTTCACATTGAGAAGGACCAGCGCTGGGCAAACACCACAAGAAATGCAGATGCCTCCGTTTCCACCACAGACGGCTCCCACCCTCCCCTCTCCTTGCCTGCAGCTGCTCTTTCAGTCAAGCACAGAGGTTCCAGAGCTCTTCTGGGCAGCAATGTCACCAAGTCACTCTGCCCACTCAGTCCAGGAGCCAAGCCCAGCTGGGTCCCCTGGGACTGCAGGCGTTGAGGGAGAGGGCTGCAGACACTGAGTGTAAAACTGGGAAGGAGAGAAGCTTTAGGACCACCCTGCTGCTCCCTCCTGCCCGCTCTCCACCAGTGACCCCTGGGCTGTGCGGGGCCTCCCTCTGTGCGTTCCCCGAAGATGCACAGAGTAGAAGAGCCCACTGGGTCTTCATGCAGGAGCGGGAGCAGGCTCTGGAGAAAAGCACAAGGAGCTGTCAAAGTTGAGCACTGGCAGAGCCAGGGGTGCAGTCAGGGAGCTGCAGGATCCACGCAGCAATGATCCACAGGTCCCTGCCCATGGTCCCCTCAGGCTGCCTGCTCTTGAGTCCAGGGCTGAGCCTCCAGGGGCCTGGCACACGCCGTGGGCTGATCAGGCTTCTGTGTGGACACTAGGACCACCTTCCTTCTGTGTCCAGTCTCCTAAGGAGCCGCCGGGATGCTTTGGCACTGCCAGCCCCTTCTGCACGAACAGGACATTGTGCAAGCTCCTGGAGAACTGCTCTTTTTAGATCCTAAATTCCCTTATTGTCCCTGGGCTGGCTACTCCTGGGGACTTTCCAGGGCTAATGGAGCCTAAGGCCTTTCCTCAGACCCTCTTGAAACCTTGGGAGATAGGAGCTTTCTCTTCTACCACAAGCTCCCTGGTGTGTTGGAAGAGCTTGGTTCTCTGTCCCCTGGCCCGCCCATGTGTCACTTCTGCCTAGGCAGCCGCAGTGAAATGAGGATTTCTTGACTTTGCTCCAAGTGCTACAAGCTACAAACATAGGTTCTTTACCCGCCACACAAGAGGGGCCAAATAAAAACTTAAACGCCAAGCTTCTGGCAAGGAAAGTGTTTTTGTTTCAGGTGACATCAGCCTGGGGAAGAGAGTGAGCCCTCAAATTCCTCTCATCTGGCCTCCAGGAAGGATGGGAGGCCAGGGGTTTTAAGGGTTTGTGAGGAATGTGGCTGCTTGTAGGGAGAAGGGGGAGTCTGTGCCCTTGCTGGTCAGCACTTTCCCACCAGCCTGCATTTGGCCTTATGAGGAAATCTGCAGGTGGATGTCCTTGGTTGTTTGTCTCCCTAGAGGACAGTGGATTCTGGTGCCAGGAAGCCAGGGAGTAAGCAGGGAAAGGAGATGAGCGTTTTGGTTTTAACCCCATATATGCTGGCTTTAATTAATGTAGGGGACCAATATCAGGGCTGGGATCATGAGGAGACCAGAAGGTCTCCGTTACCCATCTAGTGCTTGAGCTGGGTTTGTAGGAGCCAGGCTCGCTCTGGTAGCTTGATGCTGAATCCAGGGGCAGTACCTGACCTCTCTCTTGAACTTGGCCTCCATCTACCCTGGACCTGCATGGCATGTACCCCTGAGCCAGATTTCAGAGGTGCTTGTTTGGTTGCATGGTACCTGCTGGATCCAGGGACCAACTCTACCCATATACTCGAAAGTTTTCTGTAAACTTACACATTCAGTTAAATATTTTTCCAAAGAAAAAATCATAAACTAAATGGATTCAATATGATTTACATTTTTAAAAGGTAACAAAAACAATGAAACAGTAAAATCCATGTATCTAAATAAAAAATAAAATTAAAAAGAGACAACAAAATACAAATACATTTAATAGACTTTTTAACACTGCACACTGCACTAGAAATTCCTGAAAAAGATTGGAAGTGTTTTGACTCAGGCCACATAACCTTTCGAAGAAACAATAGCTATTTCTATTATTTCCTTTTCTTAGAAAAAAAAAACAAGTGGCTGGCCCCACGGCCGAGTGGTTAAGTTCCCAAGCTCCGTTTCAGCGGCCGAGGGTTTAGCTGGTTCAGATCCTGGGTGCGGACCTAGCACCTCTCATCAGGCCATGCAGAGGCGGCATCCCACATAGAAGAACTAGAAGGACCTACAACTAGAATATACAACTAGGTACTGGGGGCTTTGGGGAGAAGAAGAAAAAGATGGCAACAGATGTTAGCTCAGGTGCTAATCTTTACAAAAAAAGAAAAAATGAGTGCAGAACTAAACTCTTGTTAAGGAACCAAGGCCAATTTTCTCACTGGTAAATTCTAATCCATCTTTTGAGGGAGTCAAGATTTTTTGCCAAAGAAAAACAACCTCAAGTATTATCAGTCTCATTAGATTTCTAGAAAAAAATAGTTAACTTTATTCTACATGCATAAGTAACAATAATAGAATGATACAGATGAACGTCATTTTTAAACTGAAAGATAATTTACATACTATCTGCAAATGCTACTGACAGCCATTAAATCTCTCCCTGGCCACAGACAGTGCCAGCCCCCTAACACCTTTCAGTAACCTCCAGGTGCTCCGTCAGTCCTCAGGTTAGGGCTGCGGGACCCTAAGACACAGATGAGTAGCAGATGCCAGCGCTGAAAAGTGGGGGCCACAAAAATAACACAAATTTGCTGTGGCTCCTTTGTAGCCAAAAGCCAAGGCCCCCTGGATTGCTTACAGCCCAGCTCCTGGCTCCTGGCTCCTGGCTCCTGCAGCAACCAGGAAAGGAGTTTGGAGTTTCAGCCAGAGGAACTGTGTTCGAGTGTATGTGTGTGTGTGCACACATGCGGCTGTGCACACACTCTGCTTCCTTTTCTAACTCTGCTTCTAGTCTTCCCCACCCCACCCTGGTGCTTAGATTCTTCCTAATTGCTGAGTGCAACATGCTTTCCTCCCGCTAAACTCCTGATGCTGTAATCCTATTCTTCAGGCCCCTATTTACTAATCCTGTTTGTTAAGGACGTTGTTCTCAATTTTTTCCCAGAACATCAAAGAAGCAGATCGCCGCAGGCGGTGCAGTCCTGGTTCCCTGTGCCGGGGGCTGCAGGGAACTTGTAACCATGAATTCGCCTGGATCTGAGTTGTGTCCACCCACTGCATTCCTTCTCATGCAATGGATGGTTAGGATGCAAGCTCAGGGGACTCACTGACCACTCCAGCCAGAGCAGGACCATCACACGTAACAGCACAGTCCTGAGACACCTGTCCCAGGAGCAGATTCACAAATCCTTTAACCCAGAAATATCATATCACCTCCAGGGAATCTTTCATCCAGCATTTCTCACACACGAGGTCTACACAAAAGGGTATTCATTGTGGAATTATTTTCAATAGCTAAATAAATAAATAGGCTATAACTTGGATGTTCTACAATAGGGAGAATAATTTAATAAAAAATACTATATACTAGTGAACACATTATACAAATGAAGATACTTGAAACACTGATTTAGTCCATGAAGTCTTGTGTGTGTTCATGTTTTTAAAATGATTTATTAACATTTTAAAATCAGTGCCTCTACATGGCAACAACCACCACAAAACAATTTATACACTGAAGAATATAAAATTATAAATAAAAATGCACTGACATCAGTCAAGCTCACAGAGGGTGATTTAAGAATCCAAAATTTCTTGGGGCCAGTCTGGTGGCACAGTGGTTAGGTTCGCATGTTCTGATTGGCTGCCCGGGGTTCGCTGGTGCAGATCCTGGGTGTGGACATGGCACTGCTTGGCACGCCATGCTGTGGTAGGTGTCCCACATATAAAGTAGAGGAAGATGGGCATGGATGTTAGCTCAGGGCCAGTCTTCCTCAGCAAAAAGAGGAGAATTGGCGGCAGATGTTAGCTCAGAGCTAATCTTCCTCAAAAAAAAAGAAAAAGAATACAAAATTTCAATTTATTAGCATTACCATATTAACATTATGATAACAAATGTTTACTAAAACGGTATATTTATTGAGTTGCAGATTTTATATTCAGGACATTCTCTCAGTAGGCGATTCTGTGTACTAAGCCTAGAATGAAAGAATTTTTATATTTTTATACTTAATGGCATATAGCCTTGTAATGGGTTTTTTTTTTTTTAAAGATTTTATTTTTTCCTTTTTCTCCCCAAAGCCCCCCGGTACATAGTTGTGTATTCTTCGTTGTGGGTTCTTCTAGTTGTGGCATGTGGGACGCTGCCTCAGCGTGGTCTGATGAGCAGTGCCATGTCCGCGCCCAGGATTCGAACTAACGAAACACTGGGCCGCCTGCAGCGGAGCGCGCGAACTTAACCACTCGGCCACGGGGCCAGCCCCATTGTAATGGTTTTTTGATGTGTAAACCTAGCAAGGTTAAACTCCAGGAATTTAAGGGCACTGGCCATTTTGTAGCATACTCACATCTCTTCAAGTTATTCAAGCAAATACTAACCTAGGTGCTGCTGTGAGGGGATTTGCAGGCGTTATTAAAGTCTCTAATATTCGCTCTAAACTAAAGAGATTGTCCAGCTGGGTCTGGTTTAATCAACAGGAGACCTTTAAAGGAAGGTTTAGGCATTCCATGAATAAAATGCCAAACAGCAAGTGGGTCTACATTGCTCCGGTTGCTCCTGACTGCCTGTGGACAACATCTCTGTCCTGTACCAGTTAGATTCCAGCCTGCTTGTGTGTTCCCTCCCTCGATGATCTCCCTACTGTTCTCAGACTTGCTTCGCCAGTCTCCAGAATTGTCATATGAGTGAATTCCTTGTGCATATATATTTTCTCTCTCTCTATTGGCTCTTCTTTTCCAGTTGACACCTAATATTAGCCTGCTGGATTTATCTTCATTATACGATAGCTTTGACCATGAATTTTATGGTCTATTGGCTAACAATTCCTCTCCTAGGAACTATTTGGATAGATACTCCCAAAATTTCCTTCTTCTTTTTGCATTTTCTTATAAAAGCACAAATCTCTGTTATACAAAGAAAAATAAATGTAATATGTATGAGTTTAAAAAGAAAGGAATTTGTATGCAGAATGCAATCAAGAACCTCTATAAATTAAAAAGAAATAGATCATCCAATAGAAAATTGACAATAATATGAAGAGCTAATTCTTGGAAGAGAAGATATTAACAGGAAAAGATGTTCAATCTAGACAGACATGAGGAGAAAGCAAGTAAAAGAATAACAGGAATTCATTTTTCACCCATTAAATTGGCAAAACTTTTGTAAATATAATGACAGCCCCCGGGTCTTGGTTAATCAGTGGTTCCTCCTAGAGGAGTGGAAAGGGGAAAGAATTGACATTTTAGGGGCTGCTCCTATGCGTCCACTCTAGGAGCATCCTGGAGATGTCAGTGTCAGAGGGGCAAGCGCATCATTTTATATTTGTTTCTTTATGTCTTACGTTCCTCAGTAGGCTGTAAACTTCAGACCACA